TTAACTTAAATGATTTTAGCAAATGGCTGCAATATAACAAAGAGTGAAAAATTTAAGGGGGTCTGAATACTTTCCGTACCCACTGTATGTATATATATATATATATATATATATATAAATTTTGGTCCAAGGTCAATTTTTTTCTAACATACTCATATTCTTTAGAGCATAAGCCTTGGCTGAATTTTCAAGCGTCAAATCATTACTGATACAATCTTTTGAAACGACAGCATTTCTCTTCACTAATTCAACACATCCTTGACTTTGACCATAATGCATCTTTTGTATCTAACATTATAGAAAGCCACCACAGAAATTGAACGAGTGCCCACATGAAGACACCAGAGAGAAATGGCAAATGGTGTGAGGGAAAATGCATGATCTTCCACTAAAAAAAAAAGTGTTTGCTAAATCTTTAAATAAGCAGCTTATCATCAAGCGATAAAACAACACAGGGACGGAAGAGACAGAGAGCTGAGGGAAGGAAGACTTGGAAAAAGTGAAAAGGAGTGAGTGAATAGTGAATGTCCAGAGAGGAATACGCCACGCACGGGTGTGTATGTGTTTGTTACAAACAAAAAACGGAGGCAGCACATACGTTTAGCCCCCAGTTGGGATGCTAGTGGAGGAGCGGTGCCGGGTTCTCTGTAAGTCTCTTGGTGGTTAGCAGCATAGCTCGCTAGCGGTGCTCCTGTCGAATGCTCCTCTATCCATTCTGAAAGAGTGAAGGGTGCACTTCCTTTTTTGTGTGTCTCTCAAGCCAGTCGCATTTCCTGTCTATTCAAACTAATACTGAGGCTGTGCAGCTGCCAGCTTTACACCTTTAGAGCCCCCATGGTGTCCTAACTTCCTCTAGGTGTAAAACTTGCATATTGTCAGTACTGTATCACAAGCAGTGGCAGAATATGAGATACTTTTGAACTTGAGGGAGAAGTTATTAGGTAATCAAGAAAGCAATATTCAGCTGAGTTGGCTGGGAACAAGATCAAGGACATGTCCCAGCATGGCAACCTGCATTTCAGTAGAACTTTCTAGACCATTGAGTAGCCTTTAACATGAGCTCATAACTCATTTTCTTAAAGGTAAAGTTCCAAACTTGTATGACTTTCAGAATCAAAATCAGTTTATTAGCATAGTTGTGACATAGGAAATTATTTTTCTCTTCTGGATCAACACGAGTGACGATTTTCTTTTTTTCAGAAATGGTGACAGAATTATTGGGTTTATTATTTTATTAAGAAAGTAAACGAAGTTGATGAGCTAATTGTGACTTTAAAGGCTACTTTTTTAATATTTAATATTAACATTAAGGAAGAAAAATGGATCGCAAATGGCATTTCATGTTGACATTAATAATGGATTCTCCTTGTTATTAACTAGGAATAAAATGAATAAGCAGGATTAATAAAAAAAGACAAACTAGCCTAAAACATTATCATTTATTCATTAAAATGCAAGACAAAGTCTTGTGTCCTCAAATAAAAAAAAATCACCCGTATCCACTTGATGTTAGACTTCTCTTTTTGTTTTCTTTCAAGAATTAAACATTGATGACAAAAACCCTAAGCACTGTTTTCAGCAGTAATGAATCAGTGAAATAGCCAAATTAAATAAATTAAAAACTTAAGCCATGAAAAGATTAACTGTAATCCCACCATTCCGAAACCAAAGCTGCAACAAAACTCTAAATGACAAACATGGACAATCAGAAACGTATAAGAAAAGAAAGAAATGGCGGCATGTTGGGCCTGAATCGAACCTTGGATATACCGCTCACCTTCAGCGGGCTGAGACTGCTCCAGTTGCTTCTTCCTTTTAGCCTCCAGAATTGGGTTTTCATACTGCGTCTTCCTGTTAACATGGCTGGGAGGTGGAGAAAAGGGAGAGAGTGAGAAAGAGAGAGAGAAAGGTGATAAAGATGAGCGAGCAGAGGACACAGTCAATAACAGAACCAGAGGGAGAAACAGGAAATAGAATGAGAGTGCATGTAAAGGTTGAGCATAAGGAGAGCAGGTAAGCGGACGAGAAATAAAGTGAATTAATTCAGAGGAAAGGCAATAACGGAGGCTTAAACTATGGCTGAAAGCCTCTGCATTCATTTAGAATTCATTTAAAACTGAGGGGGGGGAAAGTGTGCTATTCTCTCTCATCTAATGCGCTTAAAAGCAAAATCTCTCCACCAGACTAGACAAGCTCAATAAACACCGATCAAAAGCCAAAAATAAAACTCCATCACCACATTTACCAAAAAATACAGAGCGCACCCAGCTGCGATCCAGGCCACTTTCCAAACGGCCTGTGCAATTTACTAGGCAAATACTGCTCAAAATGTACGTAAACATCTCCAAAGACAAAAACCGGAAGGCTTCCTGCCTCTGAGCTATTGCTTTGAAACAACATCAAAACATATGAATGCATTCACATTTATGCGCTACAAACCCAAGGGTCCCTCAGAAGGGGAGGGAAAGAGAGAGAACAAGATTTCAAAATGGTAACAGTAACAAAGTACAGCCGAAACAGAACAGACCCAATCAAAAAGATGGTGGTTGCTTCTTTCATGTTTCAGGATGATGTCATATATTAAAGATGATTTGAAGGTAATATTGAGTCACTTACTCAACATAATACACCCCGTACACTGGATCATCAATCTTCTCCCAGCCTGTGGGCAGCTCTGGAAAAGAAGCAAAACAGAAGACATTTTCAGCTCATTAAAACTAATTTAATGAGGCTTTTATCAAGTCCTTTGTAAAATGATGTCTTGATTTTTCAACCAATTAAAATTCAAGAGGTTTCAAACTAACAAGCTAGACGTTTTCAAACTATAATGACCATTTCTAGCAGATTACATAATTATCATGAAAACTGCATCATTTATCTTAAAAACAACAACAAAAAAAACATCTGTACAACTGCCCTGCAGAATGCCTGATTCTGATTGGTTGCCAGATGTTCTAAGGTGTTGGTTATTTGTCATATCACTTTACTAAATCACTGACTTATTTCTATGATGTCAAAGAGATGTATAGTCCACCACAGGAAAAAAGAAAACAAAAACAGAAAACACTATTTTTTTCCTTGCATGAAGAACAGAATAAAAACATCCCCTACTGTTAAAGTGATGGTTTTGAATCTATAAAAGAGCATTGAGTGACTCATTGAGTGATAGCAATGACGGCTTGATGCTGAATTAGTGTTCTACACACAGAAGCGTTAAAGAATTAAAAAAAGATAAACACATATACACGAGGTAACCATGATATAAAGGAGAATAACTGACAAACAAAACTCAGACTTTCATGAAATGTAATGCAAACTCTTCAAGGAATATCCGAGGAATTCCATATTAATTGAGACATCAGACTAGAGATACAGAATATGCTATAATAACTGTATAAAGTTTGAGTACAGGTCTGTCATTTGTCTCCAAAGACACAGCTCTCTGACAAATCCTCCTTGTGATATTTACATAAACAGCAGATATGTTCCCCGGCATTTCCAAATCTCTTGACCTGGCAATCAACAAAAATACGAACCGCACCGAATATTTCAGGCAAGGTTGACAAGTGTACAAAAACAACAGAAGATACTCAGAGATTTGATGGCGACACTGTTAAGGCAAAATGATACACAACATATCTTCCCTAGAATAATAGAATAATCATGAAAAGGCTCAGCCGCGTTTGACATTGAAATGTGCTTTCATGCATATGACAATATCGCTTTCTTTACCATGGCAATGCCTGAAATTTTCCAGCGCCTGGGACACAGAGCTGTTGTATTAGCATAAAGCCTGCAGCACACAGGAAATTCATTACAACACCTCCCATAAAGAAAACTTGCCAGTGCCAGTTTCCAATAGGCCAATGAAAGCAGCACACATTTCAAATTTTTTTGTGAAAGCAAGAACTCATTATCTCTCCCGAGCAGCAATAGCAAATACGTCTGACTCCTGTACTGTTCTAATGAATCTATAAATGTCGACCACTTTTTCTTTTTGAAATCCTCAGTAACTCAATATCACAATCACATAATGCAAAATGGCTTAGTACAGTGCATACTTAGAAAAGTATGTGAATTAGGACATACCTATTGATCTGTCAGCAACAGATCACATAGCAACATGGGATCAACCAATGGCATGAGTTTGGGGGCGGGATTATGTTTTTATTTGACCAATAACAGCAAGGGGGAGTTTTTGGGGAAACCTGTTTAACAATTATTATTTTTGCAACTAGATTATTTGCTAAAACATTACAATAAGGTCCCATTACTTAATGCTAGCTGATGCTTTAACTAACATTACACTGTAAAAAAATCTCGTAAAAAAAAAAAAGGTAAAATCACTGGCTGCAGTGATTAAGATATATATGTATGCAAGAGGGAATGTTCCTCTTTAAATTTCCATAACAAAAACCATAAAATTAAAGTCAAATATTTTAATTCAAAGAGGGAAAAATCTTTAAACTGTAAAAATAATAAAAAATAAAATAATAATAATGATAAAAAAATGGTAAAATGACTGCCGAACAAAAAATGTATAAAGTAAAATATCTTAATTCAAGGAAATTCAAGAAAATTCAAGGAAAATTGTAAAATAATCTAAAATTTGTAATTAAAATTTCTGTAAAATTATTGTTTTTGCACTTTATTTGAATAAATATATTTTACTGTAATTTTGTGGTTTTTGGTTTGACAGTTTTTTTTACGGTTTTTGTTTTACTGTGTAACTAAAATGGGCAATACATTTGTTTATTAATCTTCATTAACGTTAGTTAATAAAAATAAAACAGTTCATTGTTAGTTCATGTTAGCGCAGCTCCATTAAATATTATTAACAGATAACTTTTAATTTGATTTGAATTTAATAATGTATTAGTGTTGAAATTAACAAATTTTCATTGTTACCTGTTCACATTAACTAATGTCACCAAAAAGAACCTTAATGTTATCCTTTTTTGTAGTTTCTTTTTAAAAATTATTCACATGAAGAATTTGCATCATGAAATTTCACCCAGCAATATAATATAATTGATCAATTATTCATTGATATATATTGATATATATATTGATTGGTGAAGAAGAGAGCGTAACCTCCAACCAAAAGCAACTGCTAGCCAGTAAGTCCTGTCCTTCTCCCCCACATCATTACTGTGACTCTACTGACAAATTGGTCATTAATCTGTTTGCATCCCATCTTCCCTCTCTACAGGATCAAGTCTCTACCATGCGACCGGATACTCTCGTACCTACTGCCCACATCCCACAGTCACGGCATCTATTTAATGGCTCCGATTTCTCAAATCAATAGCTATTGACTGTGCTCTTCCAATCAGCCTCGGACACAAACACAGGGCTTCTCAAGGCCACTGCCTGCATCACCTAATCCGTTACTAATGATGAATCAGCCCTTCAATTACAAAGACACTGAACAGCAGAGAGAGCTCTGCGTGTTGATATAGTGTGCTTTGACGATGGTAAAACTGATTAAAGCAACAAATTATTCAATGATTTGACTGTCACCATTAGCTCATCATGATAGTTTCGGATCTCTAGAGCTATTTGCATGCATAATGAAAACAGAACCACTCCCAGCTGCGAGAATCCTGAGTTAAACTGCAAACGCTTCAGCGGTAGAAATAGTAACAATGAATATTTTATACCATGCAGTGCCAATGACATCCCAAATGAACCTTGTTTGAAAGTAATGAAATGTGTTTTACGGTCATTCCAAAACGAAAACCAAACAACTAGACTGAAACACAGCAGTGCAGGTGCATTGTGGGTGGACGTTACCCTTTGCACTGATCTGGGATCAATTGTGAGGTGAGTTTTCATAATTATGTTAAAGGGGTCATATGATGCTGCTAAAAAGAACATTATTTTGTGTATTTGGTATAATGACATGTGTTTATGCGGTTTAAAGTTCAAAAAACACATTATTTTCCTCTTTTGGAAGACCAAACAAAGTAGTTTCGCTTTCACAAGGAAGCACACAGCGTCTTCAGGACATGGCTGCAGCGTCAACAATACTACAGCGAGAATAAAAGTTACGCCTTCTTTCTTTGCATGAACATTTGGGCAGCGTTATGCAAATCTTCCCAGATCGTGACGTAGGTATGTGGGGGCGTGTTAGAACGAGCCGTTTTAGGTAGGTGTGGCTGACTCTTAACTTTTATAAAGAATATCTCTTTGGTTTTGAGACTTTAGTGTTTGCAACTTTACAGATCTTCTTTATGCACCAAGAGCTTGTAACACTCCAAAGAGAAAGGAAAAATTGAAATCGCATCATATGACCCCTTTAAGCATTTGAGAGAAAACATCTGGTCCCAAAAGCAGCACAGACACATCGATCTACCACCCCAAAAAAAAACATGCAGGTTGTGTCTGTATGGGTTTATTTCCCCTTGGAATAGTGGCCTACCTAGCTCATTGTCCAGTTCCTCTGTATGTACCCCTTCTTCTCGAGAGGGAGTAAAAGGGGAGCAGGTGTGCACAAAGTGGGGCGAGAAAAAGAGAGGCAGAGAGGGTTAGTTGATAAAAAAAGCAAAATTACAGCTCACAGCTTTATAATTATGCCACCATATTATATACACAATGGAAAAGTTTTTCTTATGCAAATCATAAAATGTAAAATTAGTGGCATTTTTAATAGCAAAATGATCTGGATTGTGGCTGAGTTAATACAGGATTACTGCATGAGATTTGACCAACTGAAAATCATATTCTGCATAATCATAAAACTGCTCTGGAAATCACTCCAGGTTCCACTGCACAGGGATTGGAATTGGAGGTTCATTTGTTTTTGTGTGAGGAGATTCAATATAATCCAGACCCTCCTTATAGCATTGTAGCTGCTGCCTTAGTCATTTTGTCACAGGGTATGAGATTGGCTGTTATAGCTATGACAGCTCCAGAGCGCCATCTACAGGCTACCATGAGATTACAATGGATGATGTGAGGGCTTGAGCATGAATGGTTATCTATAGGTCTGAAGCTGTATTTGCTATGGTGACACAAACATTACTTCAAATTTTAGATTTACAACACTAAAAGCTTATGTATGCACAACACTACAAAAACACTCACAAGTAAGCGTTATGAATGCATGTCACCATGAAACTGATATTTGCACAAGCAAACCGGACAAAAACTCAACCACATATCCATACCATCATCTTCACATTCCTCCAGGGGTTTCTGAGGTTTGTCCAGGCATCGGGGATCTATCCAGGATGTTGTCTTTGTGTTGTGGCTATGAATAGATGCAGAATACAGACAGTGAGGCATTGTTCTAAAAGATGCCTGCAGAACAACATCCTGTGGCTTTTTTCTGCATCCCAGCAGGCAAGAAAATGTATACTAAAGTTTGATACTTCCTGTGTTGATATCTGAAAAACTGCCAGTAGCAATATATAAACTTAAAATAAGAAACACAAAACTACTGTAACCTCAGGAATTTATAGTGCAATCTGTCTATGCATAAAAATATCTAAAAATAGCCATAGTGCTTCCCAGACGTATTAAAGGAATTTTGGACAATCGTGTAAAATGCACAGTTGAAAATGTATGCATTTCATTGCTTTAAATTCGAAAGATCAAACCAAGTTGCATCTTCAAACAAATGATCTTAGAACTTTTCTTAAATCTAATGTCACTTCTGTATGACACCCATTTGAGAAATTAATTATTTTAAAAAACATGTTTAACAACAAGAAGCAATCATAAATAAGTTAACAAATATATTAAAGTTTAAATATTAATCAATATTATTGATATTAAATATGAAAAAAAAAGATTTACAACTTAAATAACAATAGCAAATATTGAATAAAAAATAACATTACATTATTATAACCAATTAACACAGAAATTATGATAAAAATGAAAATACAGCTATTCTAATTTGTGAGAATGAAGTGACTGATTTATGCATTAACTTCTCTTTTGATTTTTTTTATTGATCTGTTGACCTATAATTGATTATCAACTTCTCTATTGATTTTTTTTTACTATCTGTTACCCTATTTTCAATTTCCATACATCTGACCATATTTGCTATTACTTTAATACAATAAATTGAATTAGTTTAATTCAAAAATACATATTAGTTCAATTTTGTCTTTTCCTTATTCATTTTTGTTCTTAATTTAGTTTATTTAATTATGAAATATAATAATATTTTCAGTATGAAAGTATGAAATATAAAAATAAATTGCTACTTGGTTTGATATTTTGCATTATTTATGCAGACATTTGTGTATTTTTCAAGTCTGCGGAGTCCAAAAAATGTTCGTGGTCACTGTAAATGTCCATCTAATAAAATTATAAAGAGAGCAGTTGGTTCTTACTCTATAAAGTAGACCTCTCCGCTCTCAGTGTAGGCCATCTCCCAGTTTTCGGGTAGAGGCCCCTGAGGTTCCTCTTCCGTGGGATAGCCGGGGTGTGTGTGTGTGTTCTGAGAGCTCTCCGTGGTTGACGCCGAGGTGTTGTTGAGCCCGTAGGGTTGAACGTAGTCACGGGCGAAGGGCCGCACAGAGGGGTGGTCGTCCGGTTCACTCGAGTCTCCTGCATGCACACAGAAGATCACTACACAAATACAGACCCTCTCAGTTCAACAAGGCTCTGGTTAAGAACTGTATCCTAAATGACTGTGGCAATGTACTTTTGCTACAGCTAATGATTTGCAAGTTTACACTTCCTGTAAACTCTGGAGTGATCAAACACCATTCACACTCTACTGTACACAAATACGCATACCGACACCTGGCTGTCTTGACACTCTCCTAGCCACACCAAAAAATGAAATCACCAACATCCCCTCAAATCAATAAGAGTGTAAACAGTTCACACTTAACCTTCTTGAAGAGGTGAGGAATCTAAACAAATCGACTCTCAACTAAATTGCATGGCATGCCTGACTGAATTAGCGGCTTTAAATCAAACCACTCTGCCAAATCAAAGGCATGAACCTGTATGAATAGGACAGCTTATTGCCTTTTCTAAATCAAGGGCCCTAGAATTAACTTGGATATTGAAAATAACATGCAATATAAAAAAAATTATCATACAGTCAAATATACTCTCGAAGTAAATGCTTACAGAAACGAGCTTGTGTAATAAGGAGCAGGCATTTACTGGTATTTACAACCGTTTTAGGCGATTCAAACAAGTTGTCAGACGAACCGTTGTCAGACGCTGTTAACACCTAGTAATAGTGACATGTCTCAAATGTGTCTCTACTGTTTAAATATTTGAGGTCAGTAAGATTTTTATTATTTTTTTTAAATAAATTCATACTTTTATTCAGCAAGGGTGCATTCAACTGATCAAAAGTGACAGTAAAGACATTTATAACTACATAAAATCTATTTAAAATAAATGCTGTGCTTATGTACTTTCAAAAATCCTGGATAAAAATACTTCACATGCACAAAAATATTAAGCAGCAACTGTTTTCAACATTGATAATAATATGAATATGTTTCTTGAGCAGCAAATCAGCATATTAGAATGATTTCTGATCACCGAATGTCACATGATCCTTCAGAAATCATTCTAAAGAAGTAATGATGCTGAAAATTAATCTTTGCCATCACAGGAATAAATTATATTTTAAAATATATTCAAATAACAAAAAAAGTTAATTGAACTGTAAACATATTTAACAATATTACTGATTTGAATGTATTTTTGATCAAATAAATAGTGAGCATTAAACACTTCTTTTTAAAAATTTGAACGATAGTGTACATACATAATTCACTGCCAGTGTGTTACTTCATAAAGCACAAAAAAGCACTGTTTCCAAATATACTCCTAATTTCTAATCACACAGCAAACGTGACATTTAGAATGCTCAGTGTTACTGTAGTTGAGCAGCTTTATTAACTAAACCTTAGATGTGTACCTACTCAGATGGGGTAAATGTCCCTTCTTTTAGCATAACGATTGAATGACAGGTCAACGGGCGGTGCTTCATTGTTGTCCAGTACACAATGTGCATATGAATATGATTTGAGTAATAGAATCGCATCACGAAACTGTTGACTCCTGTAATTAGTGCTGTCCACTTTTGATCAGATCACAGAAGATGTCAATACCTCTCATCGACCAGCAGCTATATCACACGGCAATCTATTTCAGAGACAGACGTCCTCTAAGAACACCACATCCAAATGCAACCCATCCAATACTCTGATACAGAGTGTGAAAGTTGGTAGAGCATAACTGTCAGATCAATAAATATAGACAAGGAGAGTCCATCTTAGTGTTTTCGAACACAAACAAAACCCTCTACCACAGCCAGATGGCGCTCTTTCCCCCTTCCTCCCTGAATCGTAATGGCGAAGGAAAAGGAAAGCAACAAACAGGCATCACTCATCCCTTCTCCCATGTGCCAGACGGAAAGGCAAACAAATCGGCTCGCTGCTGACCTGTGAAGCTACTGTTCATTTCAGGAACCTCATCATCATCCTCAGTCTCTGTAGGCACTATTCCAGCATTTTGCATCTCATTGTAGGACTTGGTTCGGCGTGGGGTCGACTGCTGGGAACCAGGAAGGCTGTCTTGCAGAGCATCGCCAGTAATCACTTTCCCACTAGGGGGCTGGCTGGGCGACTTGGGTGTTCCATAATAGTTACCTAGGCAACAAGAGGATATTACCAGCATTCAGAACAGGAGGGTTAAAGGAAATGCAAGACATGATGATGTGGGGTTTTGAAAATGCTCTATTATGAAAATGACTGCTTGTCTTGGTGAAGTTTGTTCAAGGGAGATAATGGTATCATGGTAATGAGCACATACAATGGACAGAGCTGTCTGTCTGAAAGAAAAGCACTTCACGTCATTAAATCAGAGTAATACATTTAGAGTTCAACCACGCCAGGCCGAGTGATAAACCTTAATATTAATAAAGAGATTCATTTTGACGAAACACAACAGCAGGATGGAGTAAAAATAAAGATGTCAAGATTTTAACTATTGACAAAAGTGTCATTTGTTAGGTATCTAATGATTAAACACTCATTTTTAATGTTTTTTATGTGAATTTTTTTCATCAATTATAATAAAAATATTAGATGATAAATAAACCAGCAAATAAATAAATAGAGTTTAACTAATAAAAAGTTTAATTCTAAGAAAGTTTTGATTTAAAAAAAATGTTAAATAAAATGTTACAATTTGATATGAATAAGAATTATTAAAAGGTTATGCGCTATTTCTAGGTCAGGTCACTTATTAAATAAGTAAATTTGAGACATTGATAATCGGAAAATATGGGATTAAATATGTTGAAATAAATAATTATGATTGTCCACATGTGTACCGAACAAATTCAGCATTTTAACCACTGCACTAGTGGAACTTCATTGGAAACTTCCAGTTTTATATATTGTTACTTTTGAGAAGAAAAAGCCCCATCTTTCAAATGATGTCCATTTTATCAGGAAATTCAAACATTAAATGGAGTTTTGACGCTCTTTGATGTGGCATGACATTACTATATAGGCACATCATTTCAAACTGTAGCGCGGAGCGCAAGCACGATCATCCCTTCCTCTTTACTAATAGTTTTAATGCGAAATAAACATGAATGAACATCTCATGCCTCATGCAATCGCTATATCAGTGTTCAACCGTGAAAAGACGTCAATAAAACAGCTTGTAAACAAAATGTTACGTAGCATTCCATTTACCTTAGGCAAGTCATCAATGTCCACAGCTCGTTATTTGCCAGAGAAATTAAGTCTAGAGAAGAGCATTTCGCAAAATATTAAGCTATATACTCATTTTATATTTTACTCTACCTGTTATAACATCACTATGGTGATGTCTTAATTAGGCTATTTAATTTATGTTTAAATAAATCTGTTGTGACAAGTTATGACAGCCACTGTGTAAATGAATATATTTCAACAACAAATAGAAATTTTATAATTTAGAAGTTAATTTAAAAACTGCATTATGTGCAATTTATATGTTTGCATATTTTTTTTTAAGTTGAGTGTTGATTATTTTATTTAAAAAATAAATAATGAGTAATTCAATTTAAGTTTGGGCTCTGTTGTTAATTGTAACTTTATAGTAATGTAAAAGGGCTCCCTATAGTTTAGAG